GCCTGCACATCGTGAAGCTTGTGTTTCGGGGCGTCTCGGAGATACTCGCCGGCAGGCCCGAGGCCTGTGACGAAGTCTTTGTCCAGCAGGAGATCCATGATCGAGTTGGGGATTTGTCGGTGCGGTTGTTGAGGTACAGCACGTCAGTAGTATTTCCAGTACCATCTCCAGGGACCAAGGTACCTTAAGTACACGATGGCGCAAAGCGAAGACAGTTTCCAGTCCCGCGTGCCGTCCCCCGTTCACCATTCCCATTTGCCCTGTGTTTAGACCAAGCGGAAACAAAATAGGTTTATTCTCGGAGTCCGGACACCGGACTGTCCGGTCCCCGTTAACCCCGTGCTCGAACGAAGCAAAGACTGGAAACCAAGAGGTCCATTGCGCGGACTAGATAGCGGGCGCTAGGCAGTTTGCTTCCAATCCCAAGTGCCATTCCCCGCTTCCCCCGTGTTTGCCGGAAACACTAAAGGCTGTTTCTTGAAGAACCGGATGCTGCTGGTGCCACGCCCCGCTTTGAAACTCGATTTTTCGTCACACCGATCACCAAAACGCACGTGGTGTAGTCGACGCTAAGTCAGCAGCCTGAAAAGCAGGGCTTAAGCATGTGATATGCATCTTGCTGAGTCTAGGGTCATTCTGGTTAACAGCCTGCCATGCAACAATCGCGGACCTCCAGGTCCACCCTCGGTTCCGAGCCTCAACGTCACATTTCTGTATGCTGTGGCCTTGTTACCTTTCCACACACGGTTCCCTTCTGTGTCGGGCGCAAAAGTATACCTCATAGGTGTGACGAACTAGCTAACAGGTCGTAGGGCCGGACCAAGTTTAGGGTAGGTCACGCGCATCGGACGGACAACCCTGAGATTCCCTTATGTAGGCATCTCCATTATGTCAGCCATCAAGTAATAGATCACTGGCGATCACCACGGGAACAAAGTGATCCAGGGAAAAACGATAAAGAATGGAGAACATATAGAGCAGAGAATTTCCCCGAATAGATAGTCACTACTTTATACTTCAGCGATTAATCTAAGTATCATTCTCACCCTTCATTTAAACCAGTCACTTAATTAATTGAGAGTGGTGTCTCTTCTCAGAGACACAACCCCTGAGAGAACAACGACATTCGACAAGTGATATTGCCTTGACTTTACCTATTTACCAGGACAGCAACCCCCGAAGCCGGACCTACGATTGACCCCGGAAGTCGAATCATGACAACAAGCTTTGTTGGGAGGCCTCCAGGCTCACAGGCATGCAAGCCCACAGGTACGCATATGCAGGCTCTTGACCCTTGTTTGCAAACAACAGCGAAGTAAAGGGTTGCAACCTGACCACGTCTGACCTGTCGGTCTACTACTTTCATCCTTGTCAACTACACGACGGTTATTATCACGCTTGCACTTGCTTGGCCATGAAAGTAGCTGGTGTCGAACGGGTAAACAACATCGGAAATCATGGTGGGCACATGCACGGCGTGCGTCTCACCGGCCTCGCAATCTTATTCAATATGACGAGAGATTGGCCCGCGCAACAGTTGGTGGGTAAGTTGCGGCTCGCTCATCTGCATGTCACTGGACGAGAGCGCGTGATCCTGGACATGTGGTGGCTATGCTACGCGGGAACCGTCATGGGGTATGCATTGTGGCCTTGGCGCATCATGTTCTGAGACCCACGCGGAGAAGTAAGGCTTCAATCGAAGAATCGCAATTTGCTATTTCCATGTCCTGTCTCAGCCATGAACGCCAGCACACGCCAGTGCATCCTCTAGACGACTGGACGCAGCTCGGAGCAGCTCGAAGCAGCTTTGAGCATGATTCCTTTTGTGCTCAAATCATGAGTGACCTCGTGGTATTGTGGCAGTGCTCGGGTGCTCAAAAGTGCACTTCTCCTCAACCCTTGCAACAATAGCAGGTTCGACAGCACCCATGTGTGCAGTTGCTATGCTGGTCGAGGTTACTCTCTGTCATAAAAGTTACAGTGGGCTTTGCGGCGGTGCAGAAAAAAACTGCAGTTCTGAAAGGACAGCTCACAGTACTTCTTCAGGATATAAACTAGGCATTTCCTACAGTCTACTCCATCAATCCAATCTCTCCATCTCAAGCATAACCAGAATTCTTGGCCCAACATAACCACAAACCGGTCAAAGGCCAACTACCAGAAGTGCTTTATCACTTTTAAGCGAACCAAAACGAGGATGAGCGGGCTACCTGACGTTACCTTCATCGAAGCTCCTTTCGCGGGGCTGGCGATCCTGTCGTTTCTAGGCATCGGCGTCGCCAGTCTCGCTCTCTTCTGCAAGTCCCGCGACCCAGCACGCAAAGGCTTTTGGTGGCTCGGGCCGGCTTCTCTCACGCTGGGGATGTAGGTGGACGCATGCTCAATGCTCGGATCTGCTCGAAATGGTGCACACCTCACTGCTGACTTATGGGAAATAACATTCACAGCTTTGCTATCTTGGACCTCGCCATAGTCCTCTGGTTTCGCCTCGGGTTCCCCTCCTACGAGACCTTTGTTCGACTCAATCAGGTCTCCTCGCTGATCTACCACATCGCCTACATCCAGGTCTTCATCGCACTAGTCGAACTCGCCGTGGGCTTGCACGGTGTTGTCGTCCTGGCCGACAACACCACCACTACTACTACCAACAAGTTCCGAACGGTTGCGCGCGGCTGCATGTTCGCTACGGCCAGCATCGTGAGCGCCCTGATCGTGGTCGAGTTCATCGTGCGTCTCGCAGTCACGCCTCTGGGCCCTGGGTTCAGGAATGATCGGAATACCCAGCAGGCACTCTCCAACGTCCGCATCGCCGCGCACATGATCCTCCTCGCGGCATTCGTTGCGACGCTCGGCTTGGTCATGTACGTGTTCCGCCTCGCGCACAAGTCGCACTTTGGCGGCAACGTAAGTTCCTTCCTCATCCGTCCGTCCGCATCTGTACAAGAGACAGGAACATATTATCGGAAAAAAGAGATTTGCCATTGCCTGACATTCATGCGTCTCACGCGCAAACAGGTCCACAAGCTCCTCCTCGCCGCCGCCATCCTCCTCCTGCTCCGCGCATTGTTCTTCATGAGCATCGACATTCTCGCGCTCATACCGTTCACAATTGGTGGCCTGGGGCTCACCTCGTACCAGGCCCAGATAGAATACCAACGCAGGCAGTATGGCGTGCTTGTCCTCGTCTTGGTTGGGAATTTTGTTCTTACCCCGATTGCGGTCGTGCTCCAGTTCATCGCGGGCAGACGCCAGGATGGCGGGCTCTGGTCTGGTCAGCAGGGCGGTGCAGGGACGGGGGTTGGGGTTGGTGATGTTGGAAAGGGGGAGAGGGAGCACAATCCCAGTATCTAAAGACTACATGATGCCTTTCTTAAAGGCGAACCGTCATGATCGATCTCAGATCACATTAGACGCTATTAGATTAGAGTCGTGCAGCACCAGGTGCACGAAGCTAGATTTTACAACCGTAGCTAAGGCCCAGACGAGAATCGTAAATTTGAGCGTTAACTGCCACTAAAGAGCATATTCTTCATTTTACGCCGCGGATTCGAGTCACTGCCAGCAGTACCCGATACTTTCCGTAGGCCTGTCTGTTTGCTACGTAGTGTATCTCCGTTGCTCCTTGAATTAGCGTCCACTAGTCCTGTGCTGAGCAGTAGCTTGGCGATAGCCGCATAGCCGGTTTTGATAGCTACAATGAGCGCCGCCTTTCCACAGTTGTACGTCGTCGGAATTATACCAAGCATGTTTGGGGCAAGAATTCGACAATGGATTCGCAGCCCTATTGAGCGGCTACAAGGGGAGCACTTTTCCCGCCACGATCCTTTGCGTTGATGTCCATCCTGCCATGCGTGATTACCAGCGTGACTATAGCCTGTTGCTAAGGATGGCTAGTTTTCTAGTTAAATATAAAGGCCGCTATGTCGTCGATGTTAAAAATGGCAGATTTGGTGGTGAGCATCATCTCGATAATAGCTACGCTTTTGCCCCAAGAGTCGGGGAGAATGGTCCAAAATAACGATTGTTGAATGAGTTAATATCGAGTTTTCCGGTAGCAAGCAGCAATATTACGACAACCGCACGAATCCCGACAATAGCTGCGTGAAGAGTCGCGTTACTATCCTCGTCCCCTTCGTCGACACGGACTTTCGCGCAAGTAACGAACCCGTCCCTCGCGAGTATTGTGCACTTCTTGCACGACCAATCGTCGCTAGAACCAGGGGCGCTCAAGAAAGTGCCTCTGAAAAGTGCAGGATTTGTTGGCCTTGTACTTGAACCACGAGAAAGTCTGCTTGGCGCCATGATCGAGGTTGTCAACCAGCTTCATTACTTAGTCCACGCTCCAGTCCAAGTCGCCGAGCTAGACCTGCATCGTGGGTGCGTTCCTGATAGACGGATCCCATTATTAGGATACGGTAGCCTTTCCCACTCATTCATTCTAGTCAGGACACATGGGCGTAGATCCACGGTCGACACACCCCCAGAGTCAGCATATGCCGGAGGAGTTCCAACTCCATCCACCATGAACCATTTGACCATAAACCCTGCTATTTCGAGTGTCAAGACCGACTAATTGATCGAAAAGTTCCTCGGCTGCTCGCGGTGCCAGCGCTAGGGGGCATGTCTGTCCACGAGACAAGGACAATAATGAAGCTCGTTTCACTAATTCGACTCCTAGTTGCGACTCTTGTGAAACACCTCGTCTTCACTACAGTGACCGTGGGTTTCGAAACACAGATGAACGCGCGAGCTTACATACCTGAGAATCTCAATTACAGCTTGTCCCCCTGAGTCATGTAACGGCCATGCCGTCGCATGGTAGTAGCAATCGTTCATCAGGATCCTTCCCTCGGTGGCAGCCTGGCGCTAGATCGGAGTGGGCCGCCACAGAGCCCCACACCCCTGGACCCGCCTCCCGGAACGAAAAAAAATTCTTTTCGTCCCCGACTCGTGGTCCCACACACTGGGAGCACCGTAAGTAGGCTCGACAACCAAAAAGATGATCTCGCTGGGGATCGAACCCAGAATCTCCTGATTACATGGATGCAATTCAAGCTCGTGATGCTCTTGAATCGTCGTAGTCAGACGCCTTGCCATTGGGCCACGAGACCAGTGTTTCTTGTTGTGCTGTGATGGATGGTCTTTTATTACACCTCTTGAAGCTGGCATTTAGACTCCCGCTTCTCGGGATAGCCGGAATGTGTTTCTTGGGGAAATTTCTCGCGTGTGGGAATGACAGGACTACGATAATCTTTTCTAGCTGCCAGATCGTTCCTTTCTAATTAATTGGCTTGTCTGGTGGAGGTCATAACTTCTCCGACTCGGTACCTGTCTACCTGGTCTCACGTGCATCTACATCTACCTTCTTGAGGTCTTGGGCTTTGGAACACGCAGCATCTATGTATTTTTCATTTGCGTGGAGATTGATCGTGGCCTTGGTTCCTCCTGCTGCAATTGAGCCTTATAATCTACCACACCCAGATCTGAACCCAACAGAGTTTAGGGATACGAAGGGCCTGCGCTTTCTGATCAGGCGTCGCGACTGGGAAGGAACACTAGAATCAGGAGTCGAATTTGAACTTTGGATTCCTTGAGCACAATGAGCTAAGCCAGTTAGACAATCCGACAATCACCGTGAATACGCGTCTTTTTTCTTGAATTTCGTGTATAATAAAAACCTGCTTAGCCATGCGTCACATAATTCAGGGAAAGAAAAGCAATCTTCAAAACCTGTCCAGTGATAAGTCCATGACAGGCTTCCTATGTGTCGGCCGTTCTCAATCATTCAACAGGGCTGGCTAATTTGAATTCCGTCAGTCAATAGCTGCACTGCAGCCCTACCCGAGATCATGGCAAGGCCTTGCGAGGCGCTGGTGGTGCTGCACGTCGCTAAACAGCCGTTGTCAGATTTCCGACCACGCTAGCGAAGAGCGGGAAATGGAACAACCCTGAAACCGCGTTAGATTATGGTGAGACATCGACTCTTCGCTCGCAACGCGTGCGCCAGCATCGCGCCGCAGTCACGCCCTCCAAACGCCCACGAAGACCGTATCCACGCCGTTCTTAGTCTTGCGCCGTCGCCCTCAGGTATGCACTCTGTTGAGCACCTTCATGACACGGTCACGAAACAAGTGGTGTCTAGCTTACAGCGAGCAGAGCTATCAGGTGGCGTGTTATGTTTGGGAAGGTCTCAATTCGAGCCGGCCACCTCTAGTTGCGCAAGAATGGATAGAGGATGGTGACTACCCTGTGCGTTAAATGTGTCATCAGTGATCAGCCCGCGGACTCGGGTCTCGACCTGCAGCATCAAGATCGAACCTCCGCACTGGCGTTTGTTTTTCTCGTCCATCTCGATCCAGCGCAAGAGCGGAAACTCGGTATGTTTGATCTGCTTTGGGCGAACGTGCGCAAGGCGAAGAAAGAAAACAAAGAGTTCGCGAGGGAAAAACGTCGCGCGAGCAGACAAGGTAGCGTGCCGCACACAACAGGGTTTGCTTGGACCCCTACATGTGACAGATCCGATGTCACATCAGCGACTCGAGCCATTGGCGAGTAGGACCGGGCCAAATACTTCAAAATGGGGACCCCCACGCAGTCTTTTTTAGGTTCGAGGGCGCAGGCGACGCCTTGCAAAGTGTCAGGTCTGCCCCGGAAACACTCACGTCCGTCCCGCCGCCGAGCCAGCACAGTCATGACAGAAGCAACAGGATGCTGACGATGAATGTCTCCACGGTTTTGCGGAGTCAGCAACTCGTGCAAGCGTGCGTTCGTGCACCCCCAATCCCCCGTGCTCTCCCCGGATATCGACCGCTGAAGCAAGCGGACCGTGCGCAGCGCTGTATACCCTTGCGGGATGTGGGCGTTGCGGTGCGGCCTCTCCTCGGCAGCAGGTGCAAGATCCTAGGTTCAGCTTCGATCGGCACATCTCCATTCCGAGTAGAAGTTGCGAAGCCTCCAAAGATCGCTGGGCCCCCCGGGATCTTGCCTTGCCTTATCGAGCCCGCGTGCTGCAATCGACCGATTAGGGTGGCGATGGGAAGCAGACACCAGGCACCGGGCTCGGGGAGCGTCTCACTGCACTCGCAAGACTTGCACCGTTGTATTGACTCTTGGATGATACTCTGCGGAGAGTGGTGGCAACATTCGGCCCCGAACGTGACAGAATACTGTAACTGTGTTCCCCCTTGTCAATCCAGAACAGCTGTCACTCTTGCCACTCCTTGGACACTACCCGTCCCCCTTTATTGATAGAGTTCGCCGTTGCTAGTGTTCGTTTCATAGCTATGAGGTCAATGAGACCTGGCACACTCATCGTTCGTTGCAAGACTGTGCTAGCCTAGAAGCCATCAAACAGATAATCCGCAAAGTGTCGAGATCGACCTGCCAAGCTCACTTCCCGATGCCGCTCAGACGCGTTCGAGCTGCGTCGGCACACGCGCGACTCGCGCGACTCGCGCGGGCTGTGCACTCTAGCAATCGGAATACGGGTGCCCGGCGGGCTCTGGCAAGCGATTGGGCAGCAGACCCGGAAACCCTGCTCGGCCCGGCAGCAGGTCGGAGCCGCAATCATGTCACAATTTGCTCTGCACGGCACGCTCCGTACGTCATGTCCTGCAGGCCGAGTGCTCTGGAACGAATCTGTGGACGAACACATGCCTCGTTCCCGGGCAGCAGAAGCAGCAGGGCATTGCCGACGCTTTAGCGAAGATGAGCCCATGTCCCGCCAATATATCGACCCAAGAGGCTGGAGCTGAATGCACGCATGCAGCGTGGATGATTTGTCAAGAACCCTTGAACCTTGCGAGAACCCAAGATGTCGGTACCTGAGTCGCGGCAGCGCCAATCACAGTGGTTTTCTGCATGTGGCCATTGGGAGCCTGGTCCTGGCTGCCCGTCTTTGCACGAATGTGCCACAATACCATGCGGTCACTGACCCGTCAACAGTGTCCGGAGCGCGGTTCTCCTGAGGGATGCTTGAAAACCCCGGATCTCAGCCCAGCACCGGGGTTGCGGCAGTTGCGTGGCTCGACGCCGCGAGTATCAACTCGACCCCGTCTCTGCTGTTGTCACAATGACCGAGTGAAACCCCGGTTTTGACCCGGCTAGATTAGGAAAAGTCCAAAGTAGCACAACGATGACGACGCCTTCCCGCGCGAGTTCCAGGGGGGCGGGGCTCCGTACGGCTCATCATATATCACATTCGGGTAACCCCTGCCCAGCCCATACGCCCCCGTTCCATTCGCTCTCAGGAGCCGGGGTGTTTGGATGGAGGCGGCCACGTTCCAGATGCAACGACGTGCCATGCCCGGGGCCCAATTTGACAAGTGACCATACCCCTGCCAGAAAGATACCGAAAAGCAAACATCGTGCTCTGCCTAAGCCACATGATTCAGCGCCACCTTGATGGATTATCATGCTTGCTCTTCCCCCAGTGTGATCTTGCCCTTTCCACCCACGAGTTCGTTCCTGGCGAGCGGGCCGAATCTGGAGAAAAAACCGGGATTGGTAAGAGCCAAGCATACAACTCATAAGACGACGTCCTCGCCAGCTTTTTGAGGCGTCGATTCTTTCCTGAGAAGCCAGCAGCCGAACGACATTTTAAAAACACCTGCTCCTGCCACGTCCCACTCGCAAGGATCGCAGGCAGTTCCGTGTTGCAACGGCCCGCCACAGCCCGTGTCTCTCTCATTGCATCACGCAGATCCAGGCCACGCTAGACACATCTTGCCCTACGCCTGCAGTCGCCCGCGCTGCGCACGGCACATTCAACCCTGAAATCTCATCGATTGATAGCTCGGGACGACGACGTCTCCCCCTACCAGCAAAGATGGGTGTCAGAGAAAACCTCTCATACGCGGCCAACCCGGGTGGCACGATTCTCTTTGCTGTCACTGTCGCTTCCCTATTACTGGCATTGACGGTGTTCTCTCTGCGGATATACGTCAAGGTCGGCATGAGCCGCAAGATGAGCGTCGATGACTGGTGGATGACCGCCGCGGTGGTAAGTTATATTCTTTGTTGGTCTATTCCTTCGTGGATCAGTCTTTATACGATTAATCCCCCCCTTTCATCGACTACATGACGCTGACGGCCAACGTTAATAGATCCAATACATTCCCTACATGGTCATCTGCGCCTACGGTCCCTCGGTTGGCGGCACGGGTCGCGTCACGCGAGAGCTCTCGTCCGACAACATCGAGGTGGCGCTCTGGACCTGGGCCATGGGCGAGGTCATGTACCCGGGCATATCCTTCTGCATCCGCATGTCTATCTCGTGGTTTCTGCTGCGCCTCGCCGTCGTGAAATGGCACAAGCGCGTCATCATGGCCGTCATGGTCGGCAACCTGCTCATCTCCATTGGCTACCTCGTCCCCATGACGGTCCAGTGCGTGCCCTTGTCGTACTTTTGGACCCGGCACAAGGGTGGCCAGGGCCACTGCTTCAACTTCCGCGTCGTGCCCGTCGCGACGATTGTGCACGCCGTGCTGGGCGCCGTCATGGACTGGATCATGGCGCTGCTACCCATCGCGATCCTGTGGACTGTGCGGATCAACCGGAGGACAAAGATTGCCATATCGACCATGCTTGGCTTGGGAGTGTTGTAAGTCATGTAGTCTCGATCATTGCTCGGGGAAGTATTTGCTACGAAAACGCAACGCTGACCTATGTATCATCTACAGCTGTGGCTTCTCGTTGCTACTCCGCATTCCGTTTCTCAAGTCTGTTAATACCACGGGCGACTTCCTGCAATCCACGACGTAAGTCCGCCACTTTGACCACCCAGCACGCCCATTCCGTTCTTCTTCACACAGTCACCCTTTCTGACACGTACCCCGCCCCCTTCATACAGAGGCATCGCCACAGTCGCCGTGATCGAGCCCGGCGTCGGCATAATCGTCGGCTCCATCGCAACCCTGCAGCCGCTCTTCAAGCGCTTCAAGTTTGGCCTATTCCACTCGTCCGCGGGCAGTCGCAACAAGAACAGTCGCGAACGCGGCGTGCGCGGCCCCAACGGCGAGTACAACCTTTCCAACGGCGAGGGCGGCCACAACAACAACAATGACAACAATGGCAACGCCAACATCAACATCAACAGCAACAAGAACAGCTC